GAAAAAAAGGGTATTTTTGAGTGCATTATCCTTCAATGCTTGCAGACCACTTTCAGGGCAAACTTCAGTTAAACCAACAGGAGTTCCTCTTAGCTAACTCTAAGAGGGACATCTCCATGGGAGACAGAGGCTTTGTTGTTCAGGTGAAACATTCCCAGTAGCCACAGACATCCAAAAATCAATCACAGGATGCTCTTCAGCTTCCTCCTGACAAGTTGCCTAAATCTTGGCAAATATTCATATAAAGAGCTTAAATGCTTAAAGAAAGTTCAAACCCCAGATGAACTACAGTGCCTCCTGTTCCCATTCACCCTTACACCATTAGCAAAACTGCAAATTGAACTGCTGCTGGCCACTAGTCACAGTTCGCTTGATGGTCCATTAGAGAGAAAAACTGCGGTCCCTCCACTAGACACTCCTGTGACAGATATTGCTCACTTTGAACAAGATGTAATCAGCTAGCAGGCTTTCTACACTTGAGGTCTGAAGTTGGAGTTATTTACTGTCATGGAAAACTACTTCAAAAGCCTAATGTTGAAAACTGCTACGGGAATTAACTAGTGTAGGCATAGCCTCTGTGTCTTTCTGACCAGCTTAAAAGCAATCATATTGCTTTTCCACTTCTTGTATGTTCTGTTTCTTTGGCTATGCTGGGCCAGATTTACTGTGAAGTGCGCGTGCGCGTGTGTGTAGTGGATCCTTGTCACAGGTAATACTTTAACTGTCCCCCTAACACAAATAATATTTCTAAGCTGTGTACATACATTTATTTATTAGATTCATAATCTTATTGCACAGTAAACGTCTGTGTCAAGCAAGTGGCAAATCTCCAGAACTTCAGAGTTTAGATTTTTTTTGGAAAAGTATCCAAAAATGTGGATACGCTTCATCTACAGTGTACGCAGATTATTTGAGATCTTTGAAACTGCAAAAGCAGCCTGGAAATTTTACAAGATTGTAAATTCTTATAGCATTTCCAAGCTTAGCAATGGATTCCAGCACTGCCTGGAAGTGAACTGCAAAAAAAAGAGAAATATTATAAAACTTCGTAAGGATGTCAAAAAAGCCCACTATCAGAACAGTCTATTTTGATGCTTATATTGTCAAAGGTGAGTTGTTTTACAGAACCGAGAGGAAGGTTCAGGGTTTGTTCATTTTTGGTTTTGTTAAAGCTGTTTCAGTCTCTGCTACAGCCATCAGGAACTAGAAGGACAGGAGTGCGAGAAAAGAAAAATGTATAAATACTGCCACTGTTTTCTGTTATTTTAGCTTTAAGATCCAGACCCTAACAATGGTTTCTTTTGCAATGCTAAAGAATTACCTGAGCTGACCACTGTTGCTGTGAACAAACCTTGAATTAAGAAAGGAAAGCAAGCATATTTAAAGCAAACTATCCCTTCGTAATTTTAACATTTAAATGATCAAAAGCAAATAGAGCCAACAAGTGTTGAGAATAGGTGAAGAGGAGAAAAGATAGTCAATCCAAATTTGGTTTTCTCAAGAAAAAAAGACACAGAGAAAGCAGCCATCCGTCTGGTGGTGGTTCAAGCTCCCTTATGGATGTAAAAAGAAATCACAGTTCTGAATATATAAACAAGAACTGACGGACTCAAAATTATTCCAAAAGGTTGTCAACATAAACTGTCAAGGTGTTCAGAATTCTAGTGAATAGACTGAACCAAACAAAAACCTTTATCAACACATATCTTTATCAATGATCTGAACAAGGGGATTGAGTGCACCCTCAGTAAGTTTACAGATGACAAGTTGGGCAGGAGTGTTGATCTGCTGGGGGCTGTAGGAAGGCTCTACAGAGGGATCTGGACAGGCTGGATCGATGGGCTGAGGCCAATTCTATGCAATTCAACAAGGCGAAGTGTCCGGTCCTGCACTATGAGCCTGCAATATGCCCAGGTGGCCAAGAAGGCCAATAGCATCCTGGCTTGTATCAGAAATAGTGTGGCCAGCAGGACCAGGGAGATGATAGTGCCCCTGTACTTAGCACTGGTGAGGCTGCATCTCAAGTACTATGTTCAGTTTTGGGCCCCTCCCTACAAGAAAGGCATTGAGGTGCTGGAGCATGTCCAAAGAAGGGCAATGAAAGCTGGTGAAGGGTCTAGAGAACAAGTCTTATGAGGAACAGCTGAGGGAGCTGGGGTTGTTTAGTTTGGAGAAGAGGAGGCTGAGGGGAGACCTTATTGCTCTGTACAACTACCTGAAAGGAGGTTCTGGCAAGGTGGGTGTTGGTCTCTTCTCCCCAGTAACAAGCGATAGGACAAGAGGAAATGGCCTCAAGTTGTGCCAGGGGGAGGTTTAGATTGGATACTAGGAAAAATTTCTTCACTGAAACGGTAGTCAGGCACTGGAACAGGCTGCCCAGGGAAGTGGTTGAGTCTCCATCCCTGGAGATATTTAAAAGACATGTAGATGTGGTGCTTAGGGACATAGTTTAGTGGTGGACTTGGCAGTGCTAGGGTAATGGTTGGACTTGACGATCTTAATGGTCTTTTCCAACCTAAACGATTCTATGATTCTATGAAAAATAGAATGGTCACAATGTTTTCAACTAATTAAAATGGTACCTGGAAGTATTTAATTTTCAGATAAGATTTTTGTGAGGTGAACAGGGATTTTTACCTGAGAAGACAACAGGAGGAGACAGATACAAACTTAAGACTGCCTTTTCTGATCAATGATGGATGAGTATCAGACACAGATTTAAAGTTGTGAATCCTATACCAGGAATCATCTCTTTTCTCCATTCATAACTTCCACATGCAACCATGCATGTTTCTTTCACTTTTTCCTGCATTAGCAACCTCAAAACTTGCTTTAAAACCAATGTTTTAATGGAGGGGTGGGGTTGGGGTGGGTATCTGGTTTTTTTAGGGGGACAGATGAACACTTCCAAGAGGATTTGCTTTCATTCCAACACGGAATGAAAACAAATTCTGAAACCTTGAAAGTTGCCCTGAAATGGAACCATCACTTTTTGGTTAGCCCTACTAAAACAACCCTCTGCTCTTTGGTCAAGCATCACCTGCAACAACAAATTTCACCACTCAAAAGCAACAGGCTCAAAAGAGGTCTTAATCTGAGGACTTGCTTAGCTCTTTCAGAAGAATGTTTGATGGGACTATCAAAAGTAGCTCTAGCAATGCTAAAACTGAAACTGCAGCTAGGCCAACAAATTGTTTTTTTCTTCTCTAAAACTTGTTTTTACAGCTTGAAATATTTCTGATGATTGCAACCATGGGTAGGAATAAAGACATTGGTCATTTCAAAATTTAAGAGTGCTTTGACTGAATAAGACAGACTATGAAAATGTTAAATTAAAAGAGCGCTGGTCTCTTGCTGATATTGACCAAGTATATTATTGGCAATCATGTGCCTATTGCCAAGCAAAGGAAAAAATATTGAAACATTAGAGTGATGTTTGCATTCATTTAATTGAAAGATCAAAAGTATTTGATTGATGAGGGTATGATGTGTATTTGCTATTAGCAATATTTAAGCTGCCTAAGGTGTCTAATTCCAAGTCTGCAATTGTACTGACACACTACTCATTAATAAATAAACAGCAAATGAGCACTTCTCCAAATAGTAGCTGTTGTCCACAGAAAAATTTGCCAGTGTTGCTGGGGACACCTTCGGTAGGGCAATTCAGTGCATCTTTATGGAAAAAAATTCTTGCAGATGACATTGTCAATATGGTAAGAGGAAAAAAAAATTAAAGAAAAACATTCTGTAAAACTAATTTCCATAAAAGTGTGTAGTGCTGTAATGTATAAAATGAACAAATACGAAGGGTACAATAATTCTCTCTGTCATTCATGAATGTAACAAAAGCTTTGGCTCAGGTAGCTTCATTATGTTATCCTTGTTCACAGAAGTAAACAGATCCATCAGGTAACACAATGGCTTATTATGAAAGTGGTGAAGAATGAGCGTAGTGTTTCATCTAGGCAGAAGATGAGACAGAATGTCTCTTTGAAGCAATCTTGATGCTTCAGAGGTTTCCTGGAGCTAACGGAGAGAAATGATGTGGAAAATTGCCTCCTAGAGGTTGCATTGGGATGGTCCCTGCGGTTTTCTTCCCCCCTGCCCCTATCTTTTGGAGAGAGAGAAAGGGAAAGTAAATCTGTATGACCATTGCTATTCTTACATTTTAAAAGATTATTGTGTTGGGAATCACCCTACATTTCAGTAAGCAGTTATGTCACATGGCAACCACATTCTCTAGCACCAAGCTACTCTAAAAGTGAAAAGATTTAACTGTGAATATAAGTATTGGAACTGAAGTGCTAGGGTTGCATGTTGCACAGTTTCTCTAAACAGCGGTTGGAAGTAAAAGAGTGGATGATGTAGGTAGCAATGGCCTGTGAGGGCTCTAAGCATTACAAACCATTTCACTGAATTTCAGAATTACACTATTTGAGGGTTTACACAACTTTCAGTTATGTAAAAAAAAAAAAAAATCCTACAATTTCTACATACTTGTGTTGGGGGATTACATTTTAGAATAAATCAAAACAACAGTAACCAGTCAGATCTTTTTCCTTTTTTTTTTTTTTTTTTTTTTTTTTTTTTCCCCCTCTAACTAAATGATTGCCCTTAGGAATGACAAGACTGAATTTGACCATCTGTAACTCAAAATACCAAACTGCAGTAGATAAGAAGCCTCAGGAGATAACAACTGAGAGTTACTCTGAGCCTGACAATGATGCAGTCCTTCAGAACAAGGACCTAACCCTACGGTTTCCTTAATAGTGACTTATTATACTGTAAATGGGTGGGGGAGTCATATTTTTGCTGATGGATAAAGAATAATTTATCTTTATGTAGCCTATTGTTATAGAATTAACAGGATGGATTTCAACCTACTTGCTTTTAGACAACTCTTCAAGTACAGCACTTCTAGTTCTCAATACATAGATATTTTCAAAACTATTTAAAGTCTATTATTTTTCATTATGGTCAAGAGAAACTGATTTGCTCACCTTTGCAGTTGCCCCGATAAGCTATTTCCAGCTGAGGGTCTTTGCATTTTGCTCGCTGAAATTCACACCGGGACAGAAAAGTTCTTCCATCAGATGCGCAGAGCGATTTCTGAGGGGAACCTGCACAGTCCAGGCTGCATTCTCTGTCTTTGTCTTGGTCCACTCTCAAAAACTACAAAAAACAAATTAATGCTGTAGGAATGCTATTCCCATGTGAAAAATCCTCTGTGATTCCCTTCCCCATGGAACACATACATTTGTATTCACCAAAACTGAAAAGAAAGCTCTGTCTTTTTAGCCTAATCAAATAATAGTTTATTCATCATATCTGGGATTATTCAGCTGCTGCTTTGAAATGGTAGTGATTGCAACATTTCTGTGACATACACTAAATCCACTATCACAGTTAGGAAATCTCTGAATCTCTTTCAACCGTTATGCAGCTGAAAACAGCAGCTTAGAATCTTTAGAGCAAAACTGGTGACAGCAGAAACATTCTTCACAACAAAAATGAGACAGCAATGGAAACTTGTCTATTTTATTAGCTATGCACTAACTAGCCTACAATAACAAGCTGAAAAGTCTGGTTTAAGATCCAACTGGGATTTTTAACATCAATATTCATCTAAAATTGTAACCATAATATCTCCAATAGCCTCAGTGCAAGAGGTCTGAAGAGAAAATGAGCAACATTAGGAGAACCTTATGAAGCACCTTATGAAACACAACAGATCATTTATTCTTGCAGTGCCTGTACTCAAAATCTAAAGACTCCTCAACAAAACAGGGATTTCAGATATGTTTTATAGAAATATTTGTATTTGTCCATATGTTTGCCTGTAAAAATACATGCCAAGATTGAAGAGGGAAATGTTATAACTTGCACTTTTTCCAGTGAGACCATTCTTATAACATGCATGATGGAGTCTCAGCTGCCGTTCCAAAGTGCCCCACCATGGACAAGCAGAAAACACAAAACCTGAACCAGGCTGTGTGTTGTGTGCAAAAGAGTCTTGAGCCAAATATTTTTTTTTAATTTGTTACCAACCAATAAAAATTTGACTGCTGTTTTGACCATGTTCTGAGCCCTGGCATGGGTTGCCCATGGCTCCCAACCCTCAGCGGTGTCCCTGCCCCAGCACAGGCTGCCCATGGGCCACAGCCCCTGGGGGTTGTCCTTGCATTAGTGTGGGTCACCTGTGGGCTACAGTATTTTTTTTCTGGACCGGCACAGGGCAGTTCGTGTCCTTCTCTCACACTGGAGAGCCCTGCAAGGCCCGTGCTACTTAAACCCTGTCAGTTCTGCCCATTGCACCACACATTCTCCCTTTATCAGAAATTCAATCTCATCTCCTCCAGAATACAGTGAGTGGGTATAGGCTGACAGAAGTAATTTAGGTCATTCCCACTACGGATTTCAATAGATGCTCCCCATTCTAGTTCTGCCATGAAGCCACGCTGAACCTGGTCTAACTGTTCATCCCTCTACCCTCAAGACTGCAGGCACGGCTGATGAGTTTGGCATCATCCTTGGCACTGTGAAAAGCAGGAGCTGCTCACCCTAAAACATGCTGCCAAAAAACTAATTGGTTCTGATGCTGCTGCATGCCAGCGAAAACCAAAGGCAGTACTTTATTTTCTGAGCTCCTGACAAGCAGGGACTAGGAAGGAGGTGAACTCAGTTCTCAGACGAATTTCTCTATCATTTTGCTGTTTCTGAACAAGCACAAAATTAAGCAGGGCATATTGCTACCAGGAGATAATCATTCTCCTAAGCATTAGGAGGCACCTGAGAAAAGGCCTTCATCCAGCTGAAGCACTGGTTTCATTGGTGCTACTTCTTCATCATAAACCTCAGGTACAGAAAATTTTTAACTTCAGATTAGAAACTGAGACTACTAGGAGAAAAATTTCAAAAAAAAAAAAAGAGGACAAAGAGTAGTATTTGAGCAGGAAAGAGTAGTACGAGCTAAAAAATTCAAAAAACATTTGCTACATATAGTTTCCCTGCATTTTATTAAGAAAAAAAAAAATGTATAAAGAGAGTCATAAATCTCTGTAATCTTCATACTTAAGCTGTGGTCTATTTGCATTTCCTATCACTTAATGTGAGGAAATACAGATGCCTTTCTGGAGATTATGCCTGAAAATAGAGAGACAGTCTCAAAGGTATCACTTTTAAACAATAGTCATGTGGTTGAATTTTGACCAGAATTTTTATGTTTTAGTGGCACAGTAACATAAAAAGGAATGCTTCCTTTTCCTGATGTTTCTGAACAATTTTTCATTTTTAACAATAATTAGCTTCAGAAGCAAATTACTCACAAATTACACACACACCCCAAACCTTTATTCCTGGAATTTAGCTATAGAGCTCCAGAAGTGGGGAAGAGATGTTTCTTCCCCCCTTCCCTTCGGTGCTATTTTGCAGATCCTTTTTGCTGACAGAAATTAATAATTAGCTGAGCTGAGTGGGAAGGGAGAAAAACTGAAGTCATCGCCCTTTACCGAAAAATGAGCAATAGTGAAGACAGGGTTCCAGGACTCTGACCAGTCTCCAAATTATGTTGGTATCCAGGGCCTGACCAGGTGCCCTGATGAGCTGCAGCATGAGGGGGCCCAGTGAGGTCCTCCAAGCCTCCCCTTCTTGCCTGGGAGGCATCTGCAGGACTCCAGGTTTAGGCCTAGCTAGGACTGTGAAAAGGACTTTTCAAGGAAAAATGGACCACATGGGGCCTCTGGCAGAAAAATTGGACCCAGTTCTGTGCTCTGCCTCAGACTTCCCCTGTGGATTTGGTGATGGCAAGTCCAGTGATCTCCTTCTTCCTATTTTGTGAAGTAAGGATCTGAGTACAGCCTTTCTGTGTGTATAAGACTACCCCTCTATAATGTCTAGGCATCTCGCCACCCTTAGTTTATCCTCAGCAACATCCCTGTTGAGCAGAGAATTATTTTTCAAAAGCACAGGAAGGCTTCGTGACCCACAGAAAATCATGTGGTAGATCAGAGAACTGAACCCAGGCATCAGAAAAAAATCACATAGAGCAACAGTCTAGCCTCTGTCTCATTTTTCTCCCAGATTTTCCTCATCTTTTCTGTTTTGAGTTGTTGCAGGAGTTAAGATGGGTATGCCTGATCGCAGTGGACAAACCACAGTAACACAGTGGACAGAAAATCCCCTCAATTGTCTGAGGAACAAAATCCACTCCCTTGAGAGCGTGATAGTTCACAGATAAAGCTATATTTTAAAGGGCATTTATCCAAAGAGTTTTATTTAAGTATTTTATTATTTCAAAGCCTCAGAGGGAATTAGGGTAAATTATGGGTTCAAGGATATTCAAGCAACCTGGAAAAGCAGAGGATGAAGACATACCCCAGAGACAAAACCACTTGAATAGCTTGTTCGTTAGCCAAACCTCACTGGAGAATTTGGGTTGTACATTTAAACAATTTCCACCAAGCTAGTGTAACTGAGGGATTTAAGAGCAGGAAGGACAAAAAGGCAAGCAACTGCGAGAAAAGATAGCATACAAGAGAGACTAGCAAATGTACTTATAAGAAAAAGATAGAAAGTATGTCACTGACATTTGGAAAATACTCCATTGTCACCTTCACTACAGCAGCCTAAGATGATACAAGTCCGAACCTGCATTGCTTACTCACATGCAGCCAACGAATTGATAAATATGTCAAAACTAATAAAAATGCTGAAATAAGCAAGGGCTATGGGACTTCTCATGGGATTTGGTATTTGTTTAAACAGGAACAAGCTGAGTCAGTGACACAAAAACTGGGATCATACTGATGCACATCTTAGAGTTGTACTTTACTGTGAAAATATTCCTTTTGATTAAAATAGCACAGTTTAGAGAGAGAGAAAGATGGTTCTAGATGGACCAGAAGGTGACTCACCCTGAATACTGGCTCATCTATTTCTGTCTTTAAGTTCATTTAACAAACAAATCTGTTATTGTACAAACATGTGATTCACTGAAAGACAAACTTAAAACAGCATTTTTGTTGAATGCTGGTAGCAACTGAGATGAAGCCGACAATAGTTGACCAACCTGAGGTGGAACTATTTTGAACAACCAGCAAAAACTGGACAATTATGGTTAAACCCTATTAAAAAGCAAACCACTTTTAACAGAGAGGTGTTCCTGCCCCTAATAACACAGAAACCAGCCTAGTCAAGTTTCAGAAAATTGTTTTCAACTACAAATTAAAAATACAAAAGATAAACAGGCATGACTCCTCAACTGGAGTTGCTTTAACTTATCTTCTGCTTTACATTTTAATATTCTAAAAAAATTTTACAGCCTTCAATTTATTTCAGCCTTTCCAAAGCATTATATTTTACAACACCCAATTTCCAAGGGGCCTACTATTCTATACTAGGCACTGCTTTAAATTCTCATGTAGTATTTCTGAGAAGAAAGAATGATAATGGGACTATATCATAAAAAATCTTGATGATTAAGTTTACCTCAGTTAATAAAACCAAAAGTCACTATGAACTGTGGGTGCCACTTGAAATATATAAGCATTGATAAAATATTATTTACTGTCATGTGTTTCAGGCATCACAGAATTCCAGTATTTTCCTTCACGGTCCAACACACCAAAGGCTCTTAATACTGGTTGAAATGTGCTCCCCTGTAGCAGCAGTGGTTCCAGTGATCTTCAACTTATAGAGCCCTTCAATTTCCACTGGACCTATATACCCTCCACTGACACTAGGTATTTAAACATACTGACAACAGGGTTTTATTCTGTTCCTTTTTGTGGACCCCTTATAACTGATACACAGAATTTTCCTCTGACCAAGTGAAAACTACTGCTTCAGAATCTAAAATGAAGTTTAAGCCTGCTTGCAAAACAGGAGAATAACACCTCATCTTGGGGGGCTGAGGGCCAAAAAGGTCTGAAAAACTAGCAGAAGAGAAAAGATGGATGCTAGACATCACTGTTTTGTTTGGAAAAGCCTAGTGCAGACTATAGCTTTGAAAGGCAATTTCTTTATCCTGCATCTGGTTACTGTAATATGTTGAATAGTATGGTCTGACTTCCCTGCTGCTGGCATGGGAGGTCTGCGAACAAACTATGGAGCAGTGCACTCTAAAGTGTCTCTGTGCTTAGGGCTTTGTACTGCTGAAAAATGTGCTGATTTAC